AGAGAGAGAGAGAGAGAGAGAGAGAGAGAGAGAGAGAGAGAGAGAGAGAGAGGAAAATAAAAAAATTAATGTAAAGGACTTGATATTTTTGAGACAAGTTAGCTTCATCATTCCTGGAGCCGCTGATGTTTTTTATGTATTTATCTCTTAATTTGCTTTTGAGACAAGGTCTCATGATATAACATAAGGTGGCCTGGAACCCATGATCCTTCTGCCTCAACCTCCTGAGTTCTGGGATTACAGACACATGCCATCCTGCTAGGCCTGGAGTTCTTATTACTAAGGGCCTCTTAGGAATGGCTGCCTCCATCTGATCCAGGGGTGGTGGCAAACCCCTATAATCAAGACACTGGGAAGCAGACAGGGGAGGATTGTCACAATGTGGAGATTGGTCTGGTCTGCACAGCAAGTTCCAGGCCCAAGTTTGATACATTGTCTCAACCAAAACCTAAACCAAAACAAAGTGAAAACAACTCAGTGTGCATGTGTGCATAGTGTCTATTCAGAAATATCTGTGTGGTCATGTCATTACTCGGTGTAGAACGAGCACTCTCCCAAGGTTTCCTTATAATCTTTCTTTCAAAGGAAAGCCATTGAATGAGTGTCCCACTTCCCTCTCAGGACCGAGGGCTACTGTTTCCTTCCCGTGACTAGGAGAGGAGCAGGGCTCTCTGTGTCTCCAGGTGACCTGATTCTCTGCTACCTTGGAGTCAGAGACTGTACAGAGCTATGCTGTGCCAGGATCCAGAGGATGGCAATGAAGGGGTCTACCTAACCAGCGGCGCAGGACCAGCGGGCTGACGAGGTGGGAACAACTTGAATTAATCCTCATTTCATTCCTTTTTATAGGGTCCTAGGCTGTAGTCCAGGCCAGCCTGGAATTTGCTGTGCACCTCCTCTCAAGTGCTGGCATTATAGACACATGTCACCACACTGAAGCCCCTGTTCTTCATACCAAAATAAATTCCCTATCTCAGAGTTCTAAACATGCAATTAAAATGATAGCATTGGACAAGAAGATGTAGGTCAGTGTCCTACCCATCAGAGCCTAGGCCTCTGTGAGCAGTACTCAGGAACTTCTGAGAAAGACAAGAAGACTTCTCACAAACTAGAACCTTGTGGCTGGGTGTGGCTGGGTGCGGGGGGTGAATGCCTATAATCCCGGTATTCCCGAGACAGAGACAGGAGGATTATCCATTCAAGGTCAGCCAGGTTGAAGAACCAGTTTCAGGACAACCTGGGCCACAAAGTGAGACAGTGTCTCCAATAAACCTTAAAAAATAAATAAATAAAAAGAAGAAACAAAATAAACAACAGAAAATTATGTGAGCAAAAACATTGATAATAAGCCAAGTTAAAAAAAAAAAGACTGAGAAAAGGTATTTGCCACACACACCACACAAAGGCTTCTGTGCATCAACTGGCAAAAGGTTGCT